ATAAATGTATATAGGAGAAGAAAATTTGAGAGAGAAAAGAAGATAAAAACTGAGTGAACTGCCCATTGCGTATCAGTGCAACTGATTAACTGCTATAGTCACAAAAAGCTCACTTCTCTGTTGCCTATGCAATTTTACAGTTTTGCTACTTGTAATATCTGCTATACATCAGCTATCAAAAAAAAGAAGAAAAAAGACAACTATTTATTTGATTACAATGAAATAAAAACTGAAGATAAATGCCACGTTTGTTCCATGTTGCTTTCAGCACAGAACACAATGCAAACAATACGGTTGGGCAGTTGGAAACGATCTGTAAATTCGGTTAACAGTACAAAAACTTTTTTTTTTTTTGGCCTAGGTTTCTAACCCGATTTTATCGATTTGTTATGTCCATGGCATTTAGGCGTTTCCCGAAATCTCGAACATTTAATCACATCATAATAGTTGTAGTAATGCAGTTAAACTGAATAGGATCCAGACGAATGGGGAAAGGATGGTAAATGGAGAACAACAAGGCATAAAAACTGGAACAATTGGTAACAATAGACAGAAGTTGAGCGCAAATAATGTTCGTTTACTGAAGTAGCCAACGAGGAGCAAAATGCAGCGAATTGGGAGAAAGATAATGAACTGCTGTAGAATTATTATACATCATTATACATTAATCGAAAGCCTTAAATTTTTTCAAAAAGTAAGCTTTTTTGTTGTAACATTTTTTACTATCCTTATCAATTCCTTCATGTCGCATTCTCCTTGTTCATCAGCTTTATTTGCAATCTATCTTTAGATTCTTAATAGCGGAATTTTATTTACAAAAACAAGTGAAAAATCAGCAGACGCTAGAAACCGTTACATAAAGCATAATTAAATGAGCATAGTGTTTTAGTAAAGAAAATTGAAATGGATTGGCTCTGATCAGTTGTCAGTGTCCTCAGTACTTTCTTATTGTCCTTTTCACCTCATTACTCCTCTTTCGCTCTCCACCTTCCCCATCAATGTTCTGGTTTCGTTAAATATTGTTGTCCGTTATTATCGTCCTTCTTGTCGTTTGTGTTTGCGTTGTTGCTGCGGCTACCTTCGTTATCGCTGCTCCCGTCGTTGTCGTCGTCGTCGACGCCGTCGCCGTCGCCGTCGTTGCTGACGTTGCTGTTGCTGCTGTTGTCGATGTCGTCGTTGTTGCTAATGCCGGGGATGCGCTGTTAGTGATGACGCCGCGATTGCTGTTGTATATGAACCGTTTGCGTTCATTGAAAAGATGGAAAGATATAGAGACTGTAAAGGGTTGTCAGAAAAGTTAAATGCAGTTGGCTGCACGCAATTATCACAGACAGCTAAGTAAAACAGATAGAATAGATGGTAGAGAAGTTGAGAAATTTGTTTTTTTCTCTGTTATTGCATTAAACTGTAACATAAAGTACATCACCGCTTCGTTGTTTAGAGATAAAAAGAGAAAAAAAAGTGGAAGACAAAGATGCAGAAAGGGGGAGTATTTGGCGGACATGCCACGCCTACTTGCACACATTTGTCGTTGTGACTCGTCCGGTTTGCGAGTCGCTCATTCAGTCGCTGCATTCGTCCCTAAAAAAAAAAAAAAACTTAAAAAAAATATAAAAATAAAAAAGTTTTTTCTTTCAAAAAAAAAAAGGGAAAGTTATTCTTAGGTTAAGGTTTTTTACCGGGAGGTTTCCTACGAACTGAAAAAAAACGACTTAAAAGGTTTTTTTCTCAGTCAAACAAAGTGATAATAAAAAAACTTTCGGGATTTTGTTTCTGCTGAATTTTTTCTTTTTTTTTCTCTTTTTTTCTTTTGTTTCTTGTGTAAGAAAAGCAAATCTTTCCGAGAAGCTTCTGTTCTTCCGATTTCGCTGTTGGTCCTCTTTTATTCTTCTTTTTTATTCAACCGGTAATACAAAAAGCGAAAGCAAAAAAATAAGCAACATTTCTTGGTTGATATTGCCGCTTGTGAACACTTAACCCCCAAAAACCTTAACTGTGAGAAAAAGAAGAGAACGACCTGATTATTCCGTGTTTTGCTTCGGAGAATATCAACAGATCAACAGTGGGTCGTCTGCCTGTCGTCGGAACGAGTCAAACAGAAAACTTCCTAAAAGAAAAACAACAGTTTTATTTGAAAGGTTAGTCCATTCTCACTTCTGTCCCCTACTCTTCTGTTAATTTTCTTTTGTCGTTATTTGCTTCTTATATATCAGTGATAGCAGTAGTAATTGTAGAAAATTACGGGACTGAGAAGTTTAGAGCAGTGTTGTTGTTGGATGGGAGAGAGATCCAGCAGGGATTATTATAGTGAAGACTGAGAGTTGAGAAAGGTGTTTAGCAGTCTGATATAGTTGTCGATGATAACAACAGATTAGTTGCATTTCTTTATATTAATATATAAATAAATAAATATATAGATAAATAGATTATATATATATATATATATATATATATATATA